AGAGAGAGAGAGACACAGAGAGAGAGAGACACACAGAGAGAGAGACACACAGAGAGAGACACAGAGAGAGAGAGAGAGAGAGAGAGACAAGGTAGTACTGTTCAACACGATCCTTCCTTCTGTGTCTTCAGGAAAAACTATTTCCAGCGATGATGATGTTCAGAAAGCTGATGTGTCTTCTACAGGGCAGGGAGTCATTGATAAAGACTCTTTAGGACCACTTTTACTCCAGGTAGGTGTGAAGATCGTAGCTGGCCAAAGCATGTTGTGCTTTGGTTGTTTTACTATGTGATTTATATAGAGTACGGGGATTGGAAATGAGGAAATAGTTTTTACTCCCATGGATCAGAGCTCAGTATTATAGCAATCATAAAATACCCTCCTGACACTAAATATAATACTATATACACACTGTATACAATATGAAAATACAACTCACGTATACAAAACACACGTATAAGCTACTAGCTTTGATTTCATAGGTCAGTAACACCAGAGGCTTAGTGTATTTTAGTTCGGACCCTTTTATGAATTTTCCCATGATTGGTTGCACAACACAGTACAGTTTTACTTTTTCTTTGTCTTGAATTTGTGCTTGAAATTAAACCCAGGGCCTCACACATGCTAGGTGACCATAGCAGGCAAGCATGTTACCATGGAGTGACATCTTCTGCCCTCAGCTCTGTATTCTTGGAGAATTTATTCATGGTGCTGGGGAGGGAAACCCAGGGCCTCATGCATGCTAGGCATGTGCTCTGTGATAGAGCTGCACCCCGGCTTGTGAGGCAATTTCAAACATTAAACATGTGCATGTTTTTAAAGTAATTGCCTTGAGAAGAGCTGCTTAACCATGGCGCAGTGTCTACTTCAGGCCGGAGAGCGCTTCAGCAAGTTTACTTGACAACTGGTCTTTCTTTCAGTGAGTCATTTCAACTACTTTGTGTTCATTCATTTTAAAACTCTCATTCAGGATCAGATGGTAATTCCTATAGCTAACTTGAGATCAGGTGGAAAACTGGGTAGCACTAAGAATGATTTTTTTCTTTTCTCTCTTTTTTTTGTGACAAGGTTGCAAAACATACAGGCTTTTTTTTTTTTTTTTTGAGACGTTGCAATGTTAGCCCAGGCTGCCTTTCAACTTGCAATAGAGATATAGAGATTAGGATGACCTCACCTCCTGCCTCCACTTCCTAAATGTTGGGTTAAAGGTGTGTGATATGTCATCCCCCCCTTTAAAAAACTCCTTTTTAATGCCCTTAAATAATCTTGCTAATATTAATAGAACCGATGGTTGGCAGTTAACTCTAATTGTTGGGCTAGCGTCATCCTCCCTGCCCCCTGGCCCTGGCCCCTCTCAAGTTTTATTTACAAACAAGGCTGTAGTCTTCTTCTGCAAAGGCTGCAGTGACAGAATATCACAGTAGGTGACTCAGACAACAGAAGCCTATTTCTTCAGTTTTGAAGACTGGAGTCCAAGATGGGGGTGCTGGCAGGGTTACTTCCTCCCGAGTCGAGTCCTCTCTTCTTGGCTCGCTACTGTGTCTTAATAAGGCCTTCCCCCTGCGCATGCCTCCCCGGTGTGTTTTTAATCTGTCCTTATAGGGACACCAGTTGTATTGGATTGGGTTCTCTTTAATGCTATTGACCCTTTAAATGCTCTATTTGGAAGTATGACCCTAACCTGACTCCTAACCCAAATGCTAGCAAAAATGGGCGAGGGGTTTAATGTTTCTGTGGGGACATGGTTTTCATGATGGTGTTAACACATCCTACTGCAGGCACTGGATGGTTTCTTGTTTGTGGTGAATCGAGATGGAAACATTGTCTTTGTGTCAGAAAATGTCACGCACTATTTACAATATAAGCAGGAGGACCTGGTTAACACAAGTGTCTATAGTATCTTACATGAGCAAGACCGGAAGGATTTCCTTAAACATCTACCAAAATCCACAGGTGCGCTTTTCTTTGTATTTTGTTTGAGAGGAAGATGGGGTCCTACCTACTGTGTGGTCCAGGCTAGCTCTGAATGAATCTATGATCATCTGTTTTTGCCTTGTCTCATGTGCTGGGATTATAGGTGTGTGCTGCCATACCTGACTACAGACATGCATATCAATGCGTTTTCTAAATATATTTAATTTTTCCTAGTTATTTCTTAAGAGATTGAATGTGCTTTTTAGGAAGCCAGAAAATGAGACTTAATAAGTGGTTGCCAGCAACATTTTCAGTTTGGCCTTAGTGGACTCGGTTTTCCATGGGGCCCAAACGTTTAATGGGGCTTGTGGTGAGGATTAACTTACTCGGAGGTCTCGATATTGTCATTCTGAAATGTTATATGTAGGTGTCATCTCCTGGGAGTTGTGTCCTAAGAAAAGACAGCTGGACCCGGTTCTTCCGTTTCTCTGTAAGGTCTCATGTACCGCCCAGGGCGCTCTCCGGTGCTCTTCTTTCAGCCCCTTTACTTTAGTAGCTGGGCCAGCAGCTTGCCTTGCCTCACTCACTTAAGCATGAGTTCTTAGAGATTTTATATATTAAAAAACCTTACATGTATGTATCTATGTGAATGTATGCCATGTGTTACTGCAGTATGACGGGCCAGAAGAGGACATTTATTAGATTATCTTGTGCTGGAGTTGAGGGTGCTTATGAGCTGCCAGATATGGGTGCTCAGAGCTAAGTGTTCTTAACCAGCGAGCCACCCTTCCAGCCCTTAGCTTGAATTTTTAAAAACTTTGTGTGTATGATGGATGTTTTTCTTGCATGTATGTATGTGCATCATGTGTGTGCTCAAGGCCAGCAGGTGCATTAGACTCCTTGGAACTGGAGTTATGGATGACTATGCCACCATGTGGGTTCTGGGAACTAAACCCAGGTCCTCTGCAAAGAGCAAGGCCCAACCCTAGCTGGAATGAATTCTTGATCGTAGTTTTTGACTGAGTTTTACCTGGCTTATAAAGAATAATTTCAATTTGTTTCCAAATTTTAATTTGTTTTTCAAAGTTAATGGAGTTTCTTGGACTAATGAGAACCAGAGACAAAAAAGCCATACATTTAATTGCCGTATGTTGATGAAAACACATGATATTTTGGAAGACATGAATGCCAGTCCCGAAACACGGCAGAAATATGAAACAATGCAGTGCTTTGCCCTGTCTCAGCCTCGAGCTATGCTGGAAGAAGGGGAAGGTAAGAGTTGGGTCCACTGTACCGGGGACCCTTCTTACTGATGTTGTGTCCCTGGTCGCCCGTTATCACAGCTAAAGTGACTGTAATCCGATCTGGTAACCTTTCATTGTAGACTTGCAGTGCTGTATGATCTGTGTGGCTCGCCGTGTGACCACAGAACGGCCATTCCCATCCAGTCCTGAGAGCTTTATTACCAGGCACGACCTTTCTGGTAAGACCAGCAATGTGCCTTTACTTAGAAACTTACAAAGTGTTCTTATTCCTTCGGTTCTGTGTGTGCATGAGTGTGTGCACTGTTGGTTCTGTGAGTTCATGAGTGCGTGTACTTGTCACAAGGTCACTCTTTTTCCACCTGGGGCTCCAAGCATGGAGCAGAGGTCCACAGAAAGCACCTTCACATGCTGAGATCCATCTCTCAGTCCAGCCTCGGGGTCCTCTTTCTCTGCCCTGTCGGCTCTGAGATTACAAGTTTGTGTCACTCCACCTAGTTTTCCTCCTGCATGCTCAGAATGAGTTTGGCTCTCCACAGCCCTGTGACATACATTTCTGTGTGTTATTTGATCCGTCAGAGTCAGCCTCGTCTTGAGCTTGCTCTCACTTTCTGTCTCTCTGATCCGGCTCTCTTATCTTCTCCTCTGAGTAATACTAAGTATGGCTCAACAACTGTAAGCACCGCGTTAGGAGAGCGCGTCCTGTGCAGAGGCGTGCTTCTGACTAGGAGCTCTGCTTACAGCTAGTTGGAGACAGTGCACTTTTTTGTCCTGCAGACTGAGAGCAGCCTCCAGCTGTGTGTTAAGGACAAGGCAGATCTGAGATTGTCTCCTTTATGTCACTCTCAAGTGTTAGTTAGCTAAGCAGCAGTAGGCTCTTCCGGGCAGGGTTAGAATCTTTTGTTTTTATCTTTAATAGGAAAGGTTGTCAATATAGATACAAACTCACTTAGATCTTCCATGAGGCCTGGCTTTGAAGACACAATCCGAAGGTGTATCCAGAGATTCTTCAGTCTGAATGATGGGCAGTCATGGTCCCAGAAGCGTCACTATCAAGAAGGTAAGGCATTTGGAGTTGATCTTGGTGCTGATGTTGATGATGCTGTAAAGCTCCCATTGTGTCGTCAGCCCTTGTTCTGTTGTGATTTGGTGGTTGTGGGAGAGGGGATGGTTTCTGAGCATAGCTGTTCTATACTTTTGTGTATATCCACATGATGTAACACAATTTTGTACTTGAAGCATGATTCCGTCTCGTCTTTCTCTATGCTTTGGTCTAGTCTCAGACACTAGCAACAGTATGCTTTTTCCCAATAGCTTATATTCATGGCCACGCAGAGACCCCAGTGTACCGTTTCTCACTGGCTGATGGAACTATTGTGAGTGCGCAGACAAAAAGCAAACTCTTCCGCAATCCTGTAACGAATGATCGTCACGGCTTCGTCTCCACCCACTTTCTTCAGAGGTGATGACACTAAAGCACCCTTTCCCCAGGAGGCTTTGCTGTTGATGTGCAGGGAGAAAAGGCAGGGAAGCTGTTGGATTTCGTGAAGTGAATTTAGGTTCTTAAGAGTATGTTTTCTTTAAGGTTATATTTTTATTTACAAGTTAGCATTTTTGCCGGGCGGTGGTGGCGCACGCCTTTAATCCCAGCACTTGGGAGGCAGAGGCAGGCGGATTTCTGAGTTCGAGGCCAGCCTGGTCTACAGAGTGAGTTCCAGGACAGCCAGGGCTACACAGAGAAACCCTGTCTCGAAAAGCCAAAAGAAGAAAAAAAAGTTAGTATTTTCCACTAAATGCTTCCTGGATAAGGCCAGGTATGTATGTGGGATAGAGGTGAGGTTGGTGGTATGTTGGAAGTAGTGGGTACCTCGTTGTTACCTTTCAATTCTAGTGTTTCATTGCTTCCAGAAACTGGATTTAGAGTGAAAAGTAGAATATACATGTAAAAGGTATAGTAACTACTGGTGTTACTAATGGTAAACAAACTGCACAGGAAGAGGTTCATTCATTGATTGTCTTAAGGAATTGGCGCACCCTTTCAGGCCAAGCCCCACGTATGCTCAGCTGTAATGAGCCCTCAGAGACTCCCGATCACTTGGCTGTAGAGCCACTCGGCGCTGATGTCACTCATTTAGATCTTCTGGCTCATCTAAAACTGTTAGGGATGGAGCTCAGCTGGTGAAATGCCTTCCTTGCATGATACCGCAGGTTCAGTTCCTAGCACGGTTAACTGGGTAAAGTAGTGGGCTCCTGTGTCTCCCAGGACTTGGGAGGGAGAGAGGCAAGAAGATAAACAAGACCCAAACAAACTCAAAACAAACAAGTCTCATAATTTAGATCTGGTGGTCTGACCTGTTATCCTAGCTACATGGGAGGCAGAGGCAGCAGGATCTCAAGTTCTGGGCCTGATGGAATTAATGAATTCAAGGCCAGACTTGGAAACTGTTAGATGAGACCCTATTTTAAAATATCAACGGGCTTTGGAATATAGCTCAGTATTAGAGAGCTTGCTTAGCATGCGGAAGACTCTGAGTCCCCAGTAGTGTATACAAACAGGCAAAGTGGGGCTAGAGAAGAGGCTCAGTTCTTGCAGAGGACCTGATTCATAGCATCCATAAGCCGACTCACAACTGTCTGTATGGTTCCAGGGGTTCCAGTGTCGCCTTCTGACCTCTGCAGACAGTAGGCTTTGCATATGGTGAACATACACACATACAGGCAAAATACCAAATACACATGAAATTAAATCTATAAATCCTAGTGTATGCTCCTAGGCAGCTTCTCCTTCCTTCCCTTGCGTTCATTGCTGCAATTTTAAAGTAAAACTTCTGTGTGTTTGTTTGCAGAGAACAGAATGGATATAGACCAAACCCAAATCCTGTCGGACAAGCCGTCCGACCTCCTGCAGCAGGGTGTGGCATGAACATGTCTCCAAATCAGACTGTACAGATGTTGGGCAGCCGGACCTATGGCGTGGCAGACCCCAGCAACACAGGGCAGATGGGTGGAGCTAGGTATGGGGCTTCTAGTAGCGTGTCCTCGCTGACCCCAGCACAAAGCCTACAGTCACCGTCTTCCTATCAGAACAACAGCTACGGGCTCAGCATGAGCAGCCCCCCCCACGGCAGTCCTGGTCTTGGCCCCAACCAGCAGAACATCATGATTTCTCCTCGTAATCGTGGGAGCCCAAAGATGGCCTCACACCAGTTCTCTCCTGCTGCAGGTATTCACTTTCCTCACCACTGTCTTCTGTAATACGTAGAGGTTGTGCCTCTTCGAGTGTCTGACAGTCTCTCCTGATCTTTGTCCACATGCAGGTGTACACTCTCCCATGGGACCGTCTGGCAACACAGGGAGTCACAGCTTCTCCAGCAGCTCCCTCAGTGCCTTGCAAGCCATCAGCGAGGGCGTGGGGACCTCTCTTTTATCCACTCTGTCTTCACCAGGCCCCAAACTGGACAACTCTCCCAATATGAATATAAACCAGCCAAGCAAAGCAAGTAGTCAGGATTCTAAGAGCCCCCTAGGCTTATACTGTGAACAGAACCCAGTAGAGAGTTCAGTGTGTCAGTCAAACAGCAGAGACCACCCCAGTGACAAAGAAACCAAGGAGAGCAGTGGGGAGGCATCAGAGACTCCCAGGGGACCCCTGGAGAGCAAAGGCCACAAGAAACTGCTGCAGCTACTCACATGTTCCTCCGATGACCGAGGCCATTCCTCCTTGACCAACTCTCCCCTGGATTCAAATTGCAAAGATTCTTCCATTAGTGTCACCAGCCCCTCTGGAGTGTCCTCCTCCACATCAGGAGCAGTGTCTTCTACCTCCAACGTGCATGGGTCTCTGTTGCAAGAGAAACACCGGATTTTGCATAAGTTGTTGCAGAATGGTAACTCACCAGCGGAGGTCGCCAAGATCACTGCAGAAGCCACTGGGAAAGACACTAGCAGTACTGCTTCCTGTGGAGAAGGGAATGCCAGGCAGGAGCAGCTGAGTCCTAAGAAGAAGGAGAATAATGCCCTTCTTAGATACCTGCTGGACAGGGATGACCCCAGTGATGTGCTTGCCAAAGAGCTGCAGCCCCAGGCGGACGGAGGGGACAGTAAACTGAGTCAGTGCAGCTGCTCCACCAATCCCAGCTCAGGCCAAGAGAAAGACCCCAAAATCAAGACAGAGACAAGTGAGGAGGTAAGGTACTCTCTCTTCTAGCCCATCATGTGTTTCTTCATTTCTGTGTTACAAGCCTTGCATTTGTGGTGTATAACAACAGTATAAATGGCTATATATTACACTTGTTTATAAGAACATTATACATTGTTAGTTTTTAATTGGAGGATAACCTTGAGGTTTCATTCATTATAGTTACTGTGTATATGTGGTGTGTCTGTGTTTAAGAGTGTTTTTTGTGTGTGTATGAGAGTGTTTCTGTGTGAGGCGGTGGTACGTACGTGCCTTTCATTGTGGGACTGGAGGTTGGACTTGAGGTGTCAGGTTTGCTTGGTGAGGATCTTTACATGCCAAGACATCTTTTTAGCGGCCAGTTAGAAGTGTTTTCATGGAAGTGGTTAGGTCGGAATGAGCAGATTAGGTTGTTAAGGACATGGTAGATGTTATTAGGAAAAGTTTGAATTTAGCAGCATCATTTTTTTCACCTTCAAGAGTGAGAGAGAGTTCATGAACACATTCTACAAAAGCATCTTGCTAACCCTGAGTAAGCACTCTTCTAGGGAGAATGCGAAAGGGCGCAGGCCTCCCTTCCCCATATCTGTTAGCAGAGTCCCTCTCTACATGCCTGTGAATGCCTTGTTTGTCAAACACCACTTAGCAATACATTTTCAGAAAAGTTACTCATAGATGGAGTTTCTGTCAGCTAAGGGTTGTGGGAAATTGTGGCGGAGCAAAAAGTACTTCGAGGGCAACAGAGCCCAGGGACTTATCGTAACGGCTAAACCTACAGTGAAGAGGGTGGGGTCACAGGACTGCAGCCTCTGGCTTGGGCATCGTTATCTCAGGTAATGGCTTGGAGCTTGCTGTTGAGTTTTTGTGTTTTTTGTTTGCTTTGTCATTGTTAATCTGTTTTCTTTGGGAAGGGAGAGAGTCTCACTGTCTCTGGCTATCCTGGAACTCAGAATCCTGGGATTCAGAGTGCACACCACCGCGCCAGGCATCATTGTTGTCGGTTCCCGCTTGGTGTTTCTTTTGCTGATGCCTTGATAGTTGCATCTGTGTTAGTTAACATGCAGAATCATTTTACAAGGTTCATTTTCAGGTGTCAGGAGACCTGGATCACCTAGATGCCATTCTTGGAGATCTGACTAGTTCTGACTTCTACAACAATCCTACCAATGGCAGTCACCCAGGGGCCAAACAGCAGATGTTTGCAGGACCAAGTTCTCTGGGTAAGGAAGAGCTAGCATTTTTCTTTTTTGAGGGGTGAGGTTGGGTGGGGGCTTGAGACATGGTCTTTGTGAGGCTGGTCAGAGACTTACCCACTGAACTCCACGTTCCCCTTCTGGGACGTGCCCTACTCGGATTTCTCAGCACAGTTGCATGTTCTCTTACACCAAGACCAGGAAGCAGCAGCACCTGTACCTTCAGAACGCACTCTGCCTTTCTGGGTTCTTGCACCCAATGATATTGTATTGTGTATGTTAGTCATTTTCTTGCCTTCCTTTTCCTTTTTTAATAATTTAATTGTGTGTGTGTGTGTGTGCGCGCGTGCGCGCGCGTGTATGGCCATGCTACAGCATAGGACATTCAACGGACACCTGAGGAAGCGGTTTTCCCCTCCCAGCATGTGGGTCCTGCGGTGGGTAGGACTTAGATCATCAGGTTGGCAGTAGGTATCTTGGCTGCTGGCTGTCTGACTGGTCCCCTCTCAGGTTTCTCTTCTAATTAATGTGCCAGTAACCATGATTCTTAGAAAAGAATACCTGGGCCTTGGGGTAGACTTTTTCTTAAACATGGAGAATTGGATTAAAAGACCCAAACTGGATTAAACACGTCATTTTTGGCCCTTAAAGAAGGTCCTTACATGTACTTCTGTGAGGTACCTCTTCTTGTTGTTTTGGTCTATACTGAACCCTTTCCTTTGTAGGCTGCTTACTTGGTGCACTATCAAAGGTGTGCTGTGTGACCTAAAACAGTAATTCATAGTTGTCTCCTGCTGGCCACTCCTCCCTTCTCTCCCCTTCTTTGTTTCTTTCTATCTTTTTTGTCAGCCGCCCCCCTTTTCTTTGAGAAACAGTAACCCTGGTCTGAAATCAGAGATTCATCTGCCTCTGCCTCCTGAGTGCTGGGACTAAAGCATGGCCCCCACACCCAGAAGTTACTGACTTTCTTTTTCCTTTCCTTTTTCCTTTTTCCTTTTTCCTTTTTCCTTTTTCCTTTTCCCTTTTCCCTTTTCCCTTTTCCCTTTTCCCTTTTCCCTTTTCCCTTTTCCCTTTTCCCTTTTCCCTTTTCCCTTTTCCCTTTTTCCTCTCCTTTTTCCTCTCCTTTTTCCTCTCCTTTTTCCTCTCCTTTTTCCTCTCCTTTTTCCTCTCCTTTTTCCTCTCCTTTTTCCTCTCCTTTTTCCTCTCCTTTTTCCTCTCCTTTTTCCTTTTTTAAATATTTTTTTGCAACAGGGTCTCATTATCTTCAACTATATTGTTTCCTAAACTGATCAGTCAAGATAAGTCGCAGAGGTTGGGAAGAAACTTTATGTTTATTTCCCATTTGATTGGAAGGCAGCTTAACTTTTTATTTTTATTGTAAAATTGTAAATAGAGAATATACTTCACAATTACATATGTGGAAGCATCTCTAGGAATAAAACCATCAGTCCATATTCTCTCCCCATCTTCCTCCTTCCCTTGTGCTGTTGGGGACCTGCATCTAGAGTCTCCTCTTGTTAGACATGATCTACTGAGCCCAGTGCTCAGTCTGTGCCTTAGCATTCCGAGGGAAACGTCGGACATGACCATATTGGGCTATAGCTGAATGCTAGCGCTTTGGCCAACATATAGATTATTGTTTGTACTTTACTTGGAATTTGGGCTTTTTTTCTTTCTTTTCTTTTTGACATAAATATTTATTTTGTAAAAGAAAATGGTAGTGTTTGTTTTTATGAGAAAGACTTTCTGTGTGGGGCTTAGTGGTGTTTGTTTCTTGCACTTAGTTGTTTAAATATTGAGTCAGCAAGGGATACTAATGTGGTAAGCTTCTGTATTTCCAACAGGTTTGCGAAGCCCACAGCCTGTGCAGTCTGTCCGTCCTCCATATAACCGAGCGGTCTCTCTGGATAGCCCTGTGTCTGTTGGCTCAGGTCCACCAGTGAAGAATGTCAGTGCTTTCCCTGTGTTACCAAAACAGCCCGTACTGGCTGGGAACTCGAGAATGATGGACAGCCAGGAGAATTACGGTGCCAGCATGGGTAGGTCATATCTAAGTGTGATCATTTCCTTAAACATTGAACTCAAGTAACAACCTTAATATTTTTAATTTATTAATAACATATTGTTAATATATTGTTCCTTCCATGGTGTCTCTTAAATATCCCATTGGCTCAGGCCACCTTTCTAGCCTGTAGCAAATGTATGGGAGTAGAGGCCTGCTCTAGATACTGTCTTTGTAGTTGGCCAGCCCTACTCTCAGGATGGCAGTCGCCGCTATGGTAGTAAATAATGGTTCTCCCAGTGGAAGAAGGGCTTCTGTGTTATGTGCTGGGTAAGACCTGATGAGCTCTACCTATTTTAGGTGGACCAAACAGAAACGTTCCTGTGAATCCAGCTTCCTCCTCAGGAGACTGGGGTTTAGTTAACTCAAGGGCCAGCAGAATGGAACCTCTGGCTTCAAGTCCCCTGGGAAGAGCTGGAGCAGACTACAGTGCTGCTTTACCAAGACCTGCCATGGGGGGCGCAGTGCCTACCTTGCCACTTCGTTCTAATAGACTACCAGGCGCAAGACCAACGTTGCAGCAGCAGCAGCAACAGCAGCAGCAACAGCAGCAGCAGCAGCAGCAGCAGCAGATGCTTCAAATGAGTAAGCCGTCCCTTTCAATAAAAAATGAAAATTTCCTTTTTTGGGCATGGGGTTGAATACAGGGATTCTCTTTGTAGCCTTGGCTGACCTGGAACTCACTCTGTAGACCAGGCTGGCCTTGAGACCACAGAGATCCACCTGCCTCTGCCTTGTGAGGGTTGGGATTAAAGGTGTCTGGCACCACCTGGCTGAAAATGTTGTTTTGCTCCCCCCAGGACCTGGTGAGATTCCCATGGGAATGGGGGTCAATCCCTATAGCCCAGCCGTGCCGTCTAACCAACCAGGTTCCTGGCCAGAGGGCATGCTGTCTGTGGAACAAGGTCCTCATGCCTCTCAAAATAGGTAGGGTTTTATTTTGTGATGTGGGAATGCTTGCATTGGATTTCTAAGAGTCTGAGCAGGAACAACTCTGGAAGAGTATGGGAGACAGGTCATTGTTGATTTTGCCATCTGCTGGTGCAGTAAGCAGAGGCATCTGGAAGGGTAGAGGGGGAGGCAGAACTACAGCTCAGCCTTCAAGACTTCCAAAGGCCTCTCAACAATTACCTCCCCAGGAGTAGTGGTAAGCGTTAGGAGCATTTGGGAAAGACATGTTCTCATAGGTTTATAAGTGGCACTCGGATACTGTGTCTCAATTTTTCTGGAATAAAAATTAAAAATTAAAAATGTGAGTGATGTCTGTGTGTGCATCATGTGTGTGCAGTGTCCGTGGAGGCCAGTAGAGGGCATCAGATTCCCCATGACTGGAGTCACATGTCGAGCCTTCATGTGGGTCCTGGGAACCGAACCCTTAACTGCTGAGCCATCTCTCCATCCCCTAAAGATTACCTTTTTGAATAATGGATAATTATTTTCTAAAATCATCTATAACAATTCAGTCGTACGGATGGGAGTGAACCATTGTACTATCTTTTACTTTTTTTTTTTTTTTTTTTGAAAGAAAAGATTGGGAGTTCGTTCTGCATTTTATCTTTAATTTGTTTAATAAACTACCACTGAGCAACGTCCCTGCCCACATCTCCTTTTTAAAAATTCTGTGTTTATGCAGAGGCCAGAGGTCAGCTGAAATCCATACGTCGTATAGTGTGTACTTTTACGTCAGTGTCTATGTATTGTATAACCCCTCAGCAGTTAGCACTAAATGGGAGGAGTTGGTGGGCGTGAGTTTGAGGCTAGACTCTCAGAAAACTTAAAAACCTAAACAAGAACAAGCCCAACAGAAGAACACTGTTTTGCTTTCTGCGGTCCTGGGTGTGGGGCATAGGTCCTCACCAGCTCCCGTCCAGCCGTGTTGGAGCTGACTCAAGTCTCTCTTTAGGCCTCTTCTTAGAAATTCTCTGGATGATCTGCTGGGGCCACCTTCTAATCCAGAAGGCCAGAGCGATGAGAGAGCTCTGCTGGACCAGCTGCACACTCTCCTGAGCAACACAGACGCCACGGGCCTGGAGGAGATCGACAGGGCCTTGGGGATTCCTGAGCTCGTGAATCAGGTGAGCTGCAGTTGGTGTGGGGACGGCAGAGCATGACAGTGAGCATGCTGCATATTCATGGAGACAAACAGCTTAAAAGAAGACTGTGTGTACCTTTGTGTCACTTGTGAGAAAGTGTGAATATTTGTCCCTTCTTTTACTACAGCCAAAGAAAACATCTAATGAAACCACTAAAGTTTTAAGAATGCTGCTGCTTATTAAATTTTTAAGTTTTAACTTTATTTTAAAAAAATATTTTATGTTTATGGGTGTTTGCTTTTATGTACGTCTGTGCACTGTGTGCATTTTGGTGCCCACAGAGGCCAGAAGAGAGTTTTGGTTTCCTTGGGACTGAAGTTACAGACAGCTGAGAGCCACCGTTTGGTCTAGAAACAGACCCCAGTCCTCTAGGAGAGCTTCCACTTCTCCAGCCCTAGTGATAATTAACCTAATTTTAAAAATTTTATTAATGGGCTGGAGAGATGGCTCAGCAGTAAAGAGCACTGACTGTTCTTCCGGAGGTCAATTCTCAGAAACCACATGGTGACTCACAGCCATCTGTAATGGGGATCCGATGCCCTCTTCTGGTGTGTCTGAAGACAGCGAGTGCACTCATATACATAAAATAAATAATTATTTTTTTTATTAATTTGACTTTATTATGTATGTGAGTGTTTTACTTATGTGCGTGCACATAACGAGGGTATTGGCTCACTTGGGGTTTAAAGATGGTTATAAGCTAAAATGTAGGTTCTGGGAACTGGACCTGGGTCCTTGTTAAGAGCCCTCTCTTAGCCCCACCAGATGCTACTACTTACTGTTATAACTCTTTTTCTTCAGTCCATAGCTAACCTGTTAGGTGTGCCAGGTATGCCAGGCAGGCAGGCCGTGTGTAAACAAGGTTTACAGCGGCAAATCGGAGCATTGTGTGACTATTTGTATATTTGTCTCATGAAAATACACTTTCACAAGTTTATTTTTGGTTTTTAAGAAAGACAGGATTTCTTTGTGTAGCCTTCTGACTGTCTTGGAACTCTGTAGACCAGGCTAGCCTTGAACTCAGATTCACTTGCCTTGGCCTCTCCAGTGCTGGGATCAAAATGTCGTGCCACCATGCTCAGCATCATAAATAGTTTTGAAATGTTTTAGGTGGTCACTTCTGTTTACCTTGTATTGGGCAATGTCCAGATCTCTGTCCAACAATAAACCAAGGGGAGGCCTCGGTTGCTGGGAGATACACATACCTGAGGAATTGTGTGGGATGTTAGTTACATGCTGCCACATGCATGCTGTGGAAGCCAGGTCTCCTAAACGGGAGCCACAGGCAGTTGTCAGCTGTCTGATGTGCGGGGAACTGAACTTTGGTCCTCAAGGAGAACAGTCAGTGCTCCTAAATGTGGAGCCATCTCTCCAGCCCCTGCCTTAGAGTTGTCAAAGGGGTATGGGGAAACACTGAGCAGTTCTGACGTCTAACTTCAGAGATGCCAGTGACATCTGACACTGAAGAGCAGCTGTATTTGAGTCTGTCTGTCTGTCTGTGTGACACCTGACCCTGATGCTGAAGACCATGCTGCATTTGGTCGGACATTCTTCTTCCCACTTGCTGGGTATAAGCCTCTATCTACAATTCTAATGAGTGCACCAAGTGTGGTGGTGCTTGCTTTCAGTTCCAGCACTTTGGGGGTTAGAAGCTGGCGGATCTCTTGAGTTCAAGGCAAGCCTGATATACATAGCAAGTTCCAAGCCATCCAGAGTTACATAGTGAGATGCTATCTCAAAAACCCAAACAACAACAGTGACAACAACAAAAACAAATTCTGACAAATGGAAAGAATATATAAAAGCAGCCTTAAAGCCGTCTGTGGGCAGCGAAGGGGGTATTGTTAGTAACTTGTGGATACACACTTTTAGATTTAAAACAGTATGTGCATACACACCCATGAGTGTCTGTGCATGCTTACAAAGGTGACAGCAACAATCACTATCATTGTCAGCCACCAAGGTCTCATTCTGCAGACCTTGTATCTGCTCTGTGTGTCAGGCCATCCTTCAGCCTTTGTGAGATCTGTAACCTCATCTTACGGAGGATGTTGTGTACTGCGCTGCTGATGAGGATAACACATGTCTCTTTTTGCCCTAAAAGTGCGCTAAGACCAAGAGTGACCCAGATTTATGTGTCTGGTGTCCCACCTGCTCTGCAAGCTACGACAGGAAAGTCACAGGATTCCAGGATTTAAAGACAGAGCAGCATATGTTAATTCCACCAAATGAGAGTAGGGACCATTACTCAAAATCTCTGGTCAAATTAAGCAGCTTTATTTTCTCCAGACAGGGTTATTTCTCTAAAGCAGAGCTGAGATAATAGCACTGGACATAGGAGAAGATGGGGTTTATGAGAGCCTCAGAACTTCAGTCTAGGGGGTTCTCGACGGTTGTTTGTTCTGTAGGAACTTGCAGGACATTTAAAATTATTTGTCAGGGCATCTTATCAGGACGAAGGTTAGGGGACAGGGTGTGGGACATGTCAGATTCCAGACAATGGATCAAGACATGCTCAAACCAAAGGGTGATAGAAAACAGAAATGAACTGATTTTGACCTTGTAACTGGATAGCCTGTCTGTCACATCAGGACCTTGTCTCAGAGAGGAAAATGGCACTAGCTGTTTTTCTAGATGAGTAGTTTTAGTTTTTCCTCTCTCAGCACTGCTGTGTGGCTTAGGCAGATGACCACACAAATAAGAACATGGTTTTGTTTTGTTTTGAGACAGGGTTTCTCTGTGTAGCTCTGGCTGTCCTGGAACTCACTCTGTAGCTAGCCTCGAACTCTCGAACTCAGAAATCCGCCTGCCTCTACCTCCCAAGTGCTGGGATTAAAGGCGTGCGCCACCACCGCCCGGCAACATGATTATTTTAATAAAGATATCTACTAATATGACAGGCAAAAGAGATTACTGGCTCTCACTGTACTACTTTGCAAGCTTGCTTATCTTGTCCTGTTTGTTGACCACACATCTGAGCTTTATGGTTTTCTAGTGGGGCTTTGGTTTTGTTGGTGTGTGAGTGTCCGGGTCACCTGGCCTAGTGCCTCAGGCTGAGCTGTTTGGTTTCATGGCAGTGTGGAGCTCATGCCTAGTCCCTTCAGTATTTATGTTCCTAGGTTGGCCATATGCAGTGTGACACTCGTAAATGCTGGGCAGCACACACTGTGAGTGGTTCGTCACACCTTCCTTCTCTGTATAGTGCCTTAGCTTTAGCTTTCTTGTCAGTTTAAGAATCTTGCTGGGCATGGTGGTGCACGTTTTTAATTTCAGCTCTTGAGTTCCAGGCCATCCTGGTCTATAAAGTTCTAGAGAAACCCTGTCTTGAAAAACAAAACACCCTCCCTTCCCAAACAAAAAAACCTAAAAGAAACCATCAAATTTTTCAAAATTGTGTTCGACAGTAAATATTGGGGAAATCCCAGAAGCTAAGTTGTTAACTGGGAAGCATCTAAATGATATCTAAGACACCTATAAAAACAGCCATAGGTGACAAGTGACACGGCGATCAGATAGTCTACAGAATACTGTCCTCTTGGGCTGGCCCAAACTGGCAACATGTGTTTGGTCCCTGGAACACTTAAAGGTCCACATGAAGATGGGAGGAAAGAAGCAGCTCCACAAGGCTGTCCTCTGAGCCCCACCCGTGCACTGTGGTGTGCACGCACACACCTCGCACACACAATAGTGAAAGCAAAATGAAAGTGTTATGGAAGTTGTCAAGATGGTAGGTGTTTACAGTATGATGTCTGTGATCGGAGAGGAGACATGATCCAGACAGGAAATACAGAAAATGAAGTGGCCAGCAGAGGCCGTGTGGAAGAGTCTCGGATGTCTAGCTAACTTCTGCTTATACTATATTTACCACTGGGTTAGGTTGGTTCTCAGAACCTTCTAAGTTCTTTACATTCATTTTAGTAGAATGTGCAAGAGAAGGTAGGTTAGTGCACACATCCTGTCTGTGTTCACCATAACATAGAACTGCTTTATTAAAGATATCTGTGTTTGAGTGAGCAGGGTTGGAATGCTGAGGTAGTAGAATGCACATTACTGCAAGGGTTCTGGGAGTCTTGGGAAGGGTCCTGACTGTGGACAGCGTAGAACAGAAGGATAGTTCGAAACGGCAGTGAGGAACCCTGGGAAGATGGGAGGAAGGAGTCCTGGGGAGCCAGGGTCTGTGATACAGGGGAGATTTGAGGAAAGCAGCTTTTCTTTCTTCTGGGGAAGTGGGGGAATTGTAAAAGCGTGATTTCTGCTTCTGCAGACTAAGTTTGAGTTGCTGGGGACACGCAGGTTCACTTGCATAAGCCAAGTGAGTTCAGAACTGTTTGGGGTTGAAATCATAATTTGATAGCTAGTTGTCCTTTTGTGTCTGCGAGCACCCAGGAAGGAAGTATTGTGAGAGGAGGGAAACCTGAGAACGAGCCTCAGTGCACGCTGGACCCTTCCTTATCCGAGCAAGGAAAGGCTGGAGTACCAGAGTGTGGGTGACAGGACTGCAGGGCGGGGTGGCCACTGTGTTCTTAGTTTGGGGGCTCGGGAGAATACAAAGGTTCACAGTGCACCCGACATGCCTCCTTCCTCCTTCAGAACGCGCCGTCCATTGCAGGTAGACCTGTGGAGAGACAGTGGTGGGGGACCACCATTAGCATGTAGCCGGGGAATCTGGGGAGGTGCTTTTCCTGGCTGGCTTATTATTACCTAAATCATCTCTTGCTATCCACAAATTATGGGAGAAGAACAGATTTGTAAAGCTTTATTACAGTTTATTTTATGTGTCTGTCCATGCATATTGCATGCCACATTGCACACATGAGCTCAGAGGACAGCCTGTGGGGGTCAGCTCCATCCATCCATCCATCCATCCATCCATCCATCCATCCATCACGTGGGTTCTGGGAATCGAACTCAGGTTGTCAGAATTTGTGGCAGAGGCCTTTACCACTAAGTCATTTCACCAACCCTAAAATGTTTAAAAACGTGTGTGTGTGTGTGTGTGTGTGTGTGTGTGTGTGTGTGTGTATCCATGCACTTAAAATGCCCTGCCACACATGTGGAGTCTGAGGACGACTTTCAGGAGTCTATTATCCCACTGTGTGGGAGCCAGGGATTGAACTCAGTTGTCAGGTGTGGCAGCAGGCACCTTTACTTGTTGAGCAACCTGGACAGCCCATAATTTATTAGTCAGTCCACTATATAGAGTTTTTTACTAATAAAAATAATACACTGATTTTCTTTTGTTGGAAATGTTTGGAAACCACAGAATCTAGTTACGAACATTCATTATTATATTTCAGCCAAATCACCCTCCATTCTCTCCCATTCTTGGTTGTCCCAGTCTACAGACTCGAGTTCAGAGTACGAAAAGTCATTTATAAATACTCATACTGCACTGACTCCCCATAAGTTATTGAGAAGGTAGGAAGAAACTCTTTAACCCTCTTTTTCATCACTCCAAAGAAAAGGACATCGCAGAATCCTTGCCGTAGTTTGTCCTAGCATAGAGAATACTCATACTCATAGCTTTCTCAGCCTACTTACATTGCCAGTAAGAAGGAACTGTGTAAAATTGACAGCTGAATCGACTCTTGATCAAAACCATCCCCACTGTAGCATTCTTAGGAGGTTCCGTCTGCCACCATGCAGTTCATGGTCACAGACATGTCCCTCTCTGATCATCTGTGGCTCATCTCATGTACTGCCCAATACTTTGTCTCCTGTTCTCTCTCAGCTGACTGTGTCTTCACTTGTTCCTTTCCACACACTACAAGAGTCACCTCTGCTCTCCCAGAGGTCCTTGTAGTGGTAATCCTATTCCTTGGTTATAGGAATAAGATTAAAGATTCATACTTCTGGATATGAATCTGGATATCAGTCTTGTCGGGGAGAGAGTTTAGGACAACTGAAAAGACTTGAGGGGAAAAGGGTCAAGATTGGATGCTATGTTAGTTTGTTGCCTCAAAAACTTGTTCCAAAGTAGCCCAGAAAAAACGGGAGTTCTAGGCTGGGCATGGTAGTTCATACCTTTAATATCAGCTTTTGGGAGGCAGAGGCAAGTGGATCTCAGAGTTTAAGGCCAGCCTGGTCTACAAAATGAGTTAATTCCATGGTGAAATATGCCAACCTTAGAATGTGTTTGTTGCCCACTGCAATTTTCATGTACCTCTGATTGGTATGAGAGGTATGTGGTTCTTACTGTATAGAGCTCTGGTTTTGAGCCAATAGAATTGAGCCAATTCTTCAGTCATTAAATGCATTGTAGCTACTAAAAAGGCTGAGCGTGTGTGTGTGTGTGTGTGTGTGTGTGTGTGTGTGTGTGTGTGTGTGTGTCTGCTGTCTGTGAGGACTCTGCTCCCTCAGTGAGGGTGTGTCTTGTTCCTGTGGAGCTTCAGGCCGTGACCTTGGCTTGCTTCTGGGTTCTGAGCCAAATATATTGATTTTTATTTTTCCCTTTGTTTCACTTTTGGTTGCTTTCTCAGATGTAGCTAACTATTCATTTGTGTTTGATGTTTAAGGGACAAGCTTTGGAGTCCAAACAGGATGTTTTTCAAGGCCAAGAAGCAGCAGTCATGATGGAGCAGAAGGCTGCACTGTATGGGCAGACGTACGCAGCTCAGGGTCCTTCACTGCAAGGAAGCTTTAACCTTCAGGGACAGTCGCCATCTTTTAACTCTATGATGAGTCAGATTAGCCAGCAAGGCAGCTTTCCTCTCCAAGGTGTGCATCCCAGAGCCAGCCTCATGAGGCCAAGGACGAGCACCCCGAAGCAGCTGAGAATGCAGCTTCAGCAGAGGCTGCAGGGCCAGCAGGTAAGCCAGTTGTGTTTGCCCAGGCTCTCAGTGACTTTCAGGCTGTGTTCTCCATGGCCACTGGCTCCTCACTCCTTGCTAACTAAAGGGATTTCTTTTGCTTTCACTTTTCTGGGAGTTTGTGCGGGCAGTTCCTTGTTAAGGAGCGTGTATTAGTATATATACACGTCTTTGTATGTGTATACTCTTGGATGTGACATTCGCAGTGGCAAAATGGCTCAGTGGGTAAATGTACTTTACAGGCAAGCCAGTTTAATTCTTAGAGCCTTGCTTAGTGCATGCCTTTAATCCTTGCACTTGGGAGGCAGAAGCACAGGTCTCTGTGAGTTCCATGGACCAGCCTGGTCTACAGAGTGAGTTCCAGGCCAGTTAGAACTGCACAGTGAGCTGTTCCCTACAGAACAGAACAGCTGGAGGAACAGCATGTCTTGATGGCCTTTGGAAGGCATCTCCTCAGCTTTTTGTAAGACAAGATAATTGCCCAGGCGACAGGCCTTGAAGTAATCCTCCTGCCTCAAGCTCTCATACAGGGATTGCAGGCATATGCTAGCACCCCTGTTGACTCACTATTTTAATGGAAACCACTTCTTGATGTTTTTTAAAGCTTTTAGTACTTTGGGGCTGGGGTCATGCTCAACTGTTAAGAACATGACTTGCTTTTGCAGAGGAGTTTGCTTTTTCCTGGCTCCTACACTGGGCGACTCACAGTCTAACTTCAGTTCCAGGGGATCCACACCCTCTTTTTTCTGACCTGGAAAATTTGACCCATGTGCACAAACCCACATGCAGACACATTCAAAATAAGCATAAATATTTTAGAACAATTAATATTTTAAATAGAACTTCTTTCTTTCTTCCCATTGTTTGTTTCCTTAATCTGCAGTTGCTTTAAAGTGTAATTGTTGGTATGGTTGCACAAGTCATAAGTACATAAGGTCAGTGTGCTCGTCACACATGGTGGCAGTGAGTCACCTGAGTAGGCGAGTGGTTGAGCTTAGAGCCCAGTAGGCCAGAGCCAGGCTATGGCTGCTTCTGAAGTGGGCTCCGAACTAGGGAAGCTGTGTGATCTGCACATGGTACTATTTTGTATCTTCTTATTTCTTTCTATTCAATGCTCACTAGTACCTGATCAAGTCAGTATAGATGTTTGGTTGTCGGAGCAGTCCCTGACACAGAAACTTGACACTGAGTCTGTTGCATTCCTGCTGTCGTGCTGTTTACACAGTGCCAAACAAAGCTTTACATTTAGACAGGGAATTGTCAACACTTCCTTCTCTTCCTCTTCTCTCCTCTCTTTTCTTTTTCTCTTTCAAGATAGGGATTCTCTGTGTAGCCCTGGCTGTCCTGGAACTCTCTGTCCTGGCTGGCCTCAGACTTCGTTTGTATTTTTTAAGGTTTACTGTATTTTTAGTAGTGTCTGTGCAGTCCATGCCCGTACACATACATGTGCCTGCAGAGGCCAGAGGTGCGGGGCTCACTAGAACTGGCGGTAGTGGTGACTGTGAGCCACCATATAGGTGCTGCGAAAGGAACCCCGGTCCTCTGGATATGTGTGCTCTCAGCTCCTGAGCCATCTGCCTTCTGCAGACTGGAAATGAACCGGTTCAGTTTCAGTGAGGCTCCTTAGGCTGGCGGGTGTGGAGAGCTCATCTCATTGGGGGGGGGGGGGGGGTAAAGCTGACTGGGGCTCACTCACATGCCCCACTTGAACCCACTAACCTAATTCTGTTCAGTTTCTAAATCAGAGCCGGCAGGCACTTGAGATAAAAATGGAGAACCCCACTGGTGCTGCTGTGATGAGGCCCATGATGCAGCCCCAGGTATGTTTCTGGCAAGGAGGGTCTAGTCCAAGCTTATCAAAATAACTCTGAAATTTTTGTAAGGATTGGTTGTCACACTTCCTTTTAAAATTTTTTTATTTTATGTTTATGAGTGTGTTATCTGCATGGATGTCTGCATCACGTGCATGCCTGATGGCCATGGAGGCCAGAACAGGATGTGGCATCTCCTGGACCTGGAGTTACAGAGTCGTGAGCGGTCATGTGGGTGCTGGGAATTGAACTCAGGACCTCTGAAGAGCAGCCAGTGTTCTCTTTACTTCTGAGCTATGTCTCCAGCCCCCATACTTTCTCTCTCAATCTTACCCTGCTTTGTTAGTGATGAGGGGCTGGAGAGAAGTGGCTACTTGATTAAACCCATCAGTAAACTCACCCAGATGGTTCTCTTTGGGATGAGCTGCTACGTTGTAAGATAAGCACAGAGTGTGGGAATGTGGGGATGCCGCTGATCCTGGACGGGGAGCACACATGCTCAGTGGGCAGCATTTGGAAGCCACGGCTGCAAAGAACAATTTTTGTTTATTTCCCTTTACAGAGAAGACACTTGAGCGTTCTTTCTCGTCCATAGCTCGTGTATTGTGAAGCACTCTATGAACTGAAGTGTAATTGTGTATCTCTTGGCTACCAGCAGGCTTTCTTTAATGCCCAAATGGCTGCCCAGCAGAAACGGGAGCTGATGAGCCATCACCTGCAGCAGCAGAGGATGGCGATGATGATGTCACAGCCACAGCCTCAGGCCTTCAGCCCACCCCCCAACGTCACCGCTTCCCCCAGCATGGATGGGGTTTTGGCAGGCTCAGCAATGCCACAAGCCCCTCCACAACAGTTTCCATATCCAACAAATTATGGTAAGCCTGGCAGATTATGTCCTTCCCAAAGTCATGTTATTAAGGTCACAAGCTTCACTGGGTCTGCTGTGTGTGAAAACAAAGTACCACTCTCTCCATCTTGTTTGTCAGGAAATCTCTGGAGCTGCAGGGATGGATGGAGTGTGCTGCAGAAACAGAGTGTGGTCTCTTCACAGTTGGACAGTTTTTTAGCCACAGTAAAATGGCTTTGAAAAAGATCACATAAACCTTCCTCATATCTCAGTGTAGAAGGATGCTGTGTTATCTCTGGACACTTGAGCCTGAGGGACAGATCCCAGACATAGGCTTCTCCATCTCTTTTTCTCGGTGACATGGGCACTTACTGTGATTATACTAAGCAGGCTGTGCTTCAGGCCTGCCTTTGGGGAGGTTCTAGGATAGACTGGGTTAGAGACATGTTGTTAGAGAGTGCAGCCCTGCCCACCACAGTGCCCTAGACAGGGTCCTTCTTCTAAATAGATGACTTTGTAATCTTGGTGAGAAGCGAGAACAACAGAGCATCTACGTGTAGCCTTTTCTGTCCTTCCCTCCCCATCTCTGGTCATTTTAGGATGCCGAGAGTGCAAGGATGCAGCATTGAACACTGATTTCTGTTCATTTCTTCAAGGAATGGGACAACCACCAGAGCCAGCCTTTGGTCAAGGCTCTAGTCCTCCCAGTGCAATGATGTCATCAAGAATGGGGTCTTCCCAGAATGCCATGGTGCAGCATTCTCAGACTGCACCTATGTATCAGTCCCCAGAGATGAAGGGGTGGCCATCAGGGAACCTGGCCAGGAACGGGTAAGGATGTGACTTACTTTTCCATCCCAGTGCCAGAGCCGGGAACCCGTTTCTCAGTCACACTTACTGGACGGAGAGATCACATGCGTGGCTCTTAGAAAATGAGGCTTGTGACTTGTTTTGCGGTTGCTTTATGTTGTGCCGCTCTGTGAGCATATCTGAATCCTAACAGTGGTGAAAATAGAAGGCAGGCAGGCTGTCAGGAAGTTCTTCTCGGGCTGGGCGTGGTGTCACACGCTTTTAATCCCAGCACTTGGGAGGCAAAGGCAGGAGAATCTCTGAGTTCTAGGCCAGCCTGGTTTACATAGGGAGCTCCAGACCAGACACAGGTACATAGAGAGACCTTGTCTCAAACAACAACAGAAAGATGTTTTTCTCTGATGTTTTCTGCTTAGGTAGAGGGATATTTGATATAGAACTATGACTGTCTGTGGTCTGAATTGATCTGAAAGCAATATTATTGCCCTTTCTTTGCAGCTCTTACCCCCAGCAGCAGTTTGCTCCCCAGGGGAACCCTGCAGCATACAACATGGTGCACATGAACAGCAGTGGTAGTCACTTGGGACAGATGGCCATGAACCCCATGCCCATGTCTGGCATGCCCATGGGTCCTGATCAGGTACGGGTATCTACTCCTACGTCTCCCAGGAAGTCTTTTTCCTTCTTTGTTTAGACCCAGAGACCTAACCTAACAGTGGTTTGGAGATTTTAACTGGTATATAGAACTTACACAAACTACTACAGTGTTTTGAGAGCATTTGGTTTGCAGATATTAGTGTTGAAGACGTGGATTCTAAGAGTCTGAACCAGCCAGCAGTACATGGCAGTGTGTACAATGGATTGTTTTCTACTGCACTGACCCTGTGTTCGTCTGTTAACAGAAATACTGCTAACATCTCCCTAGTGGGACCGAGAAGGAAATCACTGTACAGATGACACTGCACGAGATGGATCGTCTTGGACGAAACAAGTCATTGTCTAGGCATCCTGCTTAGAAGCAAGGCCAGCGTGACCACCACCGGGGTGTTCCAAAGTGCTGTCATTTGAGCAGAACTGGGTCTCAAGCTGACTCGCACTGTCTACCTGTTGCCCTGCCTCTGTGCGGCATGGTGTTCTGCCTCATGAGGGTGTGATTCTGGAGATGGTGTTCAGAATCACCGTTCTCTCCATCACTTCCTCTGCCTCGCCAGCCAAAGTCTTCACATAGACCTAGATGGCTACGGTTTCTGTCTTGCAGCACTGGACGAGGAGCACAGTCTGCCTTCAAGTGTGTCGTCAGCAAGTAGTTCTGTGTCGCTCTCCTGTCCAGTGCAATCAGTGTTTCTGCGCTCTTGTCCTTTACAGATGTAGTCCCCAGAGTCTGTTGTCCTAGGTCTCTCCTGATGAGGTCCCCGTACCCTGTAATTCTCAAGGGATTTGTCATTGATGTTAAATGGCTTTGCAGAAGGGAAAATGAAATGGCAATATTGAATTTTCCCGCCCCATGTGCAGCCAAGTGCACTTTACTGAGGAAGTCACGGAGAAATGCAATATTCTTGGGCGTGAGGAATGGTGAACCACATTCCTGGTTTTTGTCTGCACTAATCTGTTAGGACAAGAACATGATTGTTTTTTGTTTGTTTGTTGTTTCTTTCAAGTACTGGCGTCACCCTTTGCCTATATGGTAGAGCAATAATGCTTTGAAATAAACTTGTGAAACCCAAGGCCAGGTACTGCACTCTGAATCAGAAGCTAGCAGTGCTTCTGTGAATACGCTTCTTTTTGTAAATATGATCTTTTAAGATATTGTATTATGTGAAAATATGTACATACCTTTTTTTGTAGGTCACAGCAGCTCATTTTTACAGAGTTTGTGAAACTAAATATTTAACATTGTTGATTTCGGTAAGCTCCATGCAGTGAGGCTAGCGCAGAGGAGACATCCGGACCGCCTAGCCTGGGGGCAGGGCAGTCTGCAGCTCCCCCTTGCTTTGCAGGCCTCACTCTTTAAAGGCTTTTTAAAGTGATCATTTGTTAGATGTAGGCATTTAAATTTTTTAAAAAATTTCTTTACCAGAGAACTACGCACTTTGTTAATTTGTGGGGAAAGGATAGACACGGGGAAATGAGCTTTAAAACAAAAACAGAAAACCGCCAAGAGTTAAAAACAACCGGAGCAAATTGATTTCAAAAAGAACCTTGTGTTTTTTAAGCAGTCCATAAATTAAAGGATAATAATTTTGGAAAACTTGAGTATGTAGCCCATTCATCATTTTAGGAGTGATTTCTGTTATGAGGACCTGAGCCCCACATTTAGGTCAAAGACCCTGGGCCTTTGTGTGGTCTGGTGTCTGCTCAGCTCCCCTGCTGTTCAGCTCTTGGTGGTGGTGGGGTCTCTTACTACCTCTCTGCATCAGGGTGCTGAGCTCAGAACCAGGCCTGCCAGTGCTGCTGAGTCAGAGTGACCCCTCCTGACACCTCTCTGCCTCCTCCTCTTGGGAAACCAAGTGTAATGCCCTTTATTTGGGTCCCTTGGGTTCAAACAGTTAGATGACATTAGGTTATTAGAACATCTGTAGCTTCAAGTATCTCTGCCAGCCCTGGTGTCATCTTCTGAGAGCCAATTAGTGTTTAAAAGCCACATGTTTAGCCGTTGTCCTCCATCTCCCTGAAGGGAGCACCACTCCATTCTTGAGCACTCTGAGTGAGGCTCAGGAGCCCCTGTGGATGGACTTGGCTTTCCTATGTGTTTGGGTCATGATGGGCGTCCCCTGTGATTGACCCACTGTCCCAGGTACCATTGTGGCCTGCACTTTGCAGGTGACACCCGAGCTGGCTGGGCGGGGCTGGGCCTTCCCTGCTTAGGTGTGTAGGCCACAGCGGTGCTCCTCCCCTCAGCGTGGAAAGACATTTAAAACCCAACTGTGATTCTGCCCTCAGCACCACAGCTCCAGGCTAAATGGATGGCACTCCCTTTTTGTATGAAGAGAAAAATGTTTATTATGTTTTTATATTTTCTACTTACTGATTTTTTTATTGGTACCAGTTCAAAATTCTGATTTCTTTTTAATAGCCTCTGGGATAATTTGTTGTTTTTACCTGAATTGCCCTTTAATCTTTTTTGGGTCATTCTCTTTGTGCTCTTCTTGCCTACCTCGCATCCCCTCCTCCCTGGCCCCTCTTTAAACCTAGGTGTCTTTTGGGGCAAACAGTATAAAAGTATTTTTTTCATCTGCTTTTATGATGTGGGGACATTTTCATTACCTATTTTTTTTTTTTTTTTTTTGCTGAATCCAAAGATACATAAATAAAAATGTATTTTATGAAGATCCAAATGATTTTAAGGAAACATGTTTCTTCAGAAATAAATGAAGCTGTGCTGTTGCTGTTGGTATCAGAACGCTCTCTCTAAACTGTGCCCCTGTGATTAACAGCCCCACTCAGCTCAGGTCATCAGCATTAGGTGCTGAGGTGAGTCGGGGGGCAGAGGCAGTGGTACTATGGCAGATAATTGGCTTGGTTTGGGTAGATGCATCTAGACCATGCAGAGGGTTGCCAGTTGACAACATGCCAGTCCAGTCCTTTCTATCTGCTGTGGCTGTGGATTCTGACTCCAAGTTGAGTGTTACCTCTAGGATAGCTGAAAACTGGCCCTGCCATGAAGTAACAGGGGTTTTTACCTCCAGTGCAGGTTGATTAAAAACAGAGCGGTGTTTTGTTTTTCTCTTGCCTCCTCCCTTTTTCTCTTCCTTTGGAAATACGGAGTTTTGAAGAAGATGGAAATGTCACTCCAAGAGCAGTTAATTCTCAGGAACTGACCGACACCACTGAGAACACGTTTGGGGTTAATCACGTTTATATTAAGTGTCACTTAAGATGTCATTCTTTACACTGCAAGGAATCGGAAGCACGTCGGTGGTTCGGTTGGCTTGAGCTTTGGATGCCTTGCCAACTGTCTGGATGCTCTTGTAAATAAAGGTTTCTATTTAAACCTCAGCCTGAGCATGCCTTTCCTCTCCACACCCCGGGCAGGGGTGAGAGCATATAAGGAATGAAGACACTCAGTGTCTGTGAAGTTGGAACAGTTCTTTCCTAGGAGCCTGGACCCGTTCAAGGCATTTGAAAACTGGGGCCGTTTAGACCAGTGGTTCTCAGCCTTCCTAATGCTGCAACCCTTTAGTTGCTCATACTGTGGTGATCCCAACCACAGTACTACTGTTGCTACGTCTTAACTGTAACGTTGTTGTGAACTGATATAAATATCTGTGTTTTCTGATGGCCTTAGGCAACCCCTGTGGAAGGGCTGTTGGAGCCCCAGGTGACAACCAATGGTTTAGAGAAATGCAGGCGCCCTCTGCTGAGATGGGTTGAGTTGATCTTTCCGCCTCCACCCCCCTGTCCTCTGGCAGCTGCCTTTTGGTGGTCACTTGGACCGGTCACTCGGTAGAACAAAGGGCTGGTAGAGTTGGATGCTTTGCTGTTGAGAAACAGACTTTCCAGATAGATGCCCCAGAGCTGGTGAGACTTACCTGTGAGGTCCCTTGAAGCACGGATAAGTTTAATATTAATGTATAACTCTCTGCTTCTCCAAACCCTCTTGGCTGAAGGTCGGCAACATCTTGAGTGCTTCAAGAAAAAGTAAAAATAATAACACAGCAAAAAAAGTCCCAAGATAGTCTTTTACAAAAATTCAAAGATTTTTTTTTCATATCAATAGCTAGTCATTGGCTGAGGGGTGTGAACACTGTAAGATGATACTTATACTACAAAATTTCTTTACAAATACAATGTCATTAAAACACAGGACACACATCAACTTGGGGTTTCAGTACCTTAGAAAAACATCAGTTCTGGGATGGATAACAAAGGAACGAATCCTGGGCAGGAACAGAAATGTCTGAAAGCTCAAGGGATTATCCTTGACACTAGCCACAGAGTGTTTATTGACACCACGACTCTTGAAAAGCAGGATTTCGTATTAGTGAGATTCCCCTACAAGTCCCTGTGTTGGTTACATGTGAGCAGTCACATATGTACAGTGAAGGCAGCTTCTGAGGCAGCCGGGTCAACCAGCCAGGTGAATGGTACTGTTTTTGTGCTATAGACTCATAGTCAAGACTGCGCTGATGACAGCACCTGGGACATCCGTGCTTTCTCCAAAGAAGAAGGTTAAAACAAGCTTGTTTCCCTATATGATTGGGAGGGCGGTGTGGGGGAGGGAGTGGGTGAATCCCGGCAATTCCATCTCTGGAGGAAATGTCCATGGAAATGAGTCCCTTTGTCTTTGTGAGCCTCTGAAAGAGTGAGTAGAGACTCCAGGCGTAAGAACGCATCCTGTGTGGCCGGTGAGGTTCGATCCAAAGCAAAGCAGGGCAAAAAAATGAGCCTCAGGAAGCCCAGGCATTGTCCTCCAGGATTTCCCGTCCCAAGAGCAGGCCCTGCCTCGTGTCAGGTTTCCCAGTTCCACCACTGGTCTTCTGGGTGGCTTTTGCAGGGCCTGGGCAGCCACACGAGGCCTCTGGTTTTGGAGGTTCCTCTCTGTGGCCGCTTAGCCTTCCCAGCCTTCCCACAGCTGTCCCCTGTGGAACAAAGTGAGCGCACAGCCTTTGGTTACCATGCTATCTGGATTTTTTAAGTCAGCCTCACCCTGCAAGCCTTGCTTTAAGGGCATGGCTGATGGAAAGGAGTACTTAGGCCATGAGGAAAGGAAATGCATTTTTGAGAGAATCTGACAAAGAATCTGGACCCCTTGAGAGAACGATTTGGCCTTCCCCTTTAGACATGAGGTGAGCTGCAGGTTCCTGCAGTCTGCTCATGGCCTGTGACAGCCATTCTGCTGAGAAGGGAATACCCTGTCAGTGCCTCTGCAGCCGCGTCCTGCAAGGTGTCTGTCCGCGGTCGTGCTTAAGCACTTCTCAGCATAGCTCAGTCATAGCTCAAGCCTACAGATCATCACAGGGAGAACTGCAGTCTGTTAGGGTCAGGCATTAATTTGAGATATGTATTCACATCTTATAGGAAAAGCAGCTATGATTTCGTCCGTCTTAGCAGGGGTGCAAAGATAGAGCATGCATGAAGCCCCAGCCCCGGAGAGGAAACACTAAGCTGCGGTGGTGTTTGCTGGAGAGAGAGCTCTTGCCTAGTATGAGCGATTCCTGGCTTCAATGCCAGTACTGAAAAAACCAAGACAACAGCAGTAACAAAACTAGCAGGTCAGAACCAGCTCTGCTTATCTGCAAACTGGCTCTTCAACTCACAGTGATTTGGAAGAAGGTCTCTTCATTTCTGGCCATTTTCGACGCTGAAACTGCCTAAATGTTCAGATGCCGAAAGGGAGATGCGTGTTAAATACCATCGAGGAAATCCTGTTGTTCCCCCTCCCTCCAGAAGGACTACATAAGGATGGTGTCTGAGATGACGTCTATCACTTATTGTCATTATGCCTTAGACAGTTTCTCAATAGGTACAACCATTAAACAGGACAGGTCAAGATGAGGGAGGGAACTTAGCCCAAACTTTAGGAACAAAACCAAGTACCTGTATTGTTCATAGCTTCCTCCGTCTCTAAGCCCTAGGTGAGAGATGAACAGATTAAGAACAGTTTAGGGTGAGATGGTACAAACATTGCTAAGGAAGACACAGCTAAGAACTGCCTTCAGTTTGCTGAATGCCAGTGCCAGGATGTTGCTAGCGTTCCTTGTTCAGAGTGAATAATGAAGACCTTTAGTCTGCTAGGTGGACTTGTAGATTGGCCCCTGCTGAGCCCAGTTAGCTGTAGTACACATTGAGCCTTCACTCACAATTGCCTTAGTGATGGGGCCCAGGTGTGGGTACTAGTGCTGCACTGGCTGCGGGTGGGTGGGTGAGGGTTAGGGTTGTACTCTGAATTCCTGAGGATATGGTGGTATGACCAAGCACATGGGTATGGAGTCACTCAGGGGGTTCACTTCCCTCACCGTTAAGCTGGGGATAGAATCACCTCAGGGCTCTTGAGAGAATTCCCACACATCATTTGGTGTTGTGCTTGGCTTACCAGAGACTGCAGAACCATCACAAAGTAGCACTTGACAGTCAGGTGGTTTCTTTTCTGCAGCCACTCTCGTCCCTTTGTTCTGCCCGGCCCCCATCTCCCCTACCCCCTATTGCAAAGCAGACTGGCACACCTGGGTCTGTCTCCTCAATGTCCCACTTAGTACAGACTGGTAGAAGCTCCCTGGGCCTTCCGCATCCTTGGCTTTTTCGGTTCCTGCTACACTTGGCTGAGGCTAATAAGCACATGATATTCTATTGTCCATCTTAAAACATCTCACCGGCCAGGTGTAGTAGTGCACACCTTTAATCCCAGCACTTAGGAGGCTAGGGCAGGTGGATCTCTGAGTGAGAGGCCAGCCTGGTCTACAGAGTTAAGTTACAGGACAGTCAAGACTACACAGATATACCATCTTGAAAAAGCAACAACAAAACCCCCATCTGGCTGGTATCCCGGGCTTAGAAGTGCTGGTTTTACTCCATTCACCCCAAACCCAGGGGTAGCCTGTGCCATCTCCTTTTCTGTTATCCACCTTGAATCACCATGTGGTGTGGGCTTCCCCACTGTACCTCAAGTCTGCCATCATCTCTCCTCCTGAGCCCCGGGGAACAGTTTCCCTGGATGACCATGTTATGTGGCACTACTTACTGGATCCAGCTTCATCCTCTACTTAGTAATCACTCTTTAAAATGTTGACTTTCACTGCCCAAATGTAAAAAACCCTCCCATCAACCCTCCCCAAAGCAATCGAGTCTAAACTTTCCTTTGTGGCCCGCAGAGCCTGCCTGTCACTTCTGTTCCAGCCACACTGGGCGACTTTATGCCCCTCCCACTTCCCAGCGCTCCGTGCTTCCTCAGCGGTGGACAGTTGCTTCCTCTACAATGGTCACCCCTGAGCTGTCGCAGAGCTAATGAGCACAGCATATTGCACGTTCCTGTCACCCCGCTCAAGTCGTATGCCTCCCTCCCTGTGCGGGGCCCTTGCCCCGAACAGCTCCACATCTCGCTCATACATTTGCTGCCCAGGAACTCGGGAGGCTAAGTTCTTCATGAAGAATGAATAAACAAAAGGGAGGAAAATGGAGAAGAGAAGTCTGTGTCCTGTATAGATTGTATGGGTTCTCAGCTCCTGGAAGCACAGCTTCTTTGTACCCTTCCCTGTGATCCTAGGCTCGTCTTTGGGGCAGACACTCTTCTCTACAGGCTGCACACGAGCCAACTCACCCAGGTCCATGTTGCGGGTCCGGGGGTTGCACTGCTTGTAGCCTTTACAGCTTCTTAACTCCATGAGCTGTACGTGCAGCTGGTTGAGCACGTCCCTGTCCAGTGTGTTAACCGCGTTCATCAGCTGATGAGAAAGGGTAGCTGTCAACAGGGGAGTGTCCTGGGAACCCTACCTATATCTCTTCAAACCAGGCCACTTAACTCAGGTGGACTGGGCGTAGAGGTGCTATGGGGGTGGGTACTATCAAGACCCAACCTTTATTTCTGCAAGAGTCACTGTGCTGGGGGATAAGAGATAGCTCAGATGCTCTGCCAGGTCTGCTCAGTGGAAATGCAAAATCGGGAGAAGCCACAAACCATGTCTGTGTGCCGAACCTTGCACTTCTGCAGCTGCCTACTAGGAATCTTGCATAGCTGGGTTTGACAGGTCTAACTAAGCCTTGGGTTTCACAGCACCCATTTGTTCCTCTTGATAGAAGAATTTGATATGGAGGTGGGTCAGGACCTTGGGGATTCGCCTAGTCTGGCACTACTGATGATCACTAACTGATGTTGTCTGTCATCTTCTTTGGTAAAGTACAGGCTAAAGTATCAGAGAAGGAAGGCTGGCAGTCTGTGGCTACTTGTGTCACGGCTGCTGACATCCTGAAGTCACACTGCATGGAGCTGCATCAGGCTTTTTGAATGAGGTTGGGTGGCTGGACATCACTAAGGTCATCTTCCAGAATGGCTAAGGTGCAAA